CATCGTAGAACGTCCGTGACGTAGCTCCGCCCCCGAGGATATCTACAAATTCCAATACACCCAAATAATTATGATCTGTAATGGTGTCCATCAAGCTAGTAGTGGCTGCATTGCATCGACTGGTGATATACACACGCCCCTATCTAAATGATCGATTTTTTTTTCAGCGCGTGAACACCGCTGTCTTCAACCAGGGGGTATCCATAGCAATGTGGGTTTTCAGAGCAATAGGTTTACAGATAAATTTAGAACAAGTTATTGACATGACACAATCCCCCATCATGCAATAGTAAATCAAACTGAAATCAGTCAGCCATTTTGAATAAGAACTTCACTGATTTATAACTGATGTGGAAAGTTTGATTTGATCTTGTTTTAGAATGACTAGATTTTGAATTAGAATTGCAAAAGAACGAAGGTGCATGAAGTATCCATAATGTTCAATGTTAGTACTACGCTGTAACGAAATCCGTCCATACAGGACCAAGATTTGTTTCTGGAATGCCTAATGCTTGATTTTGATGTATTTCTAGCATTAAGATGGCCGCCAGTCCACCACAATTGAACCACAAAATAAATACTCGTATCAGACAATGTATTGCAAGGTTTGAACAAGATCAATGAAGGCATTGCTGAGATACAAGCTCTTATTCATAGACAAACCAACGCACAGAGGTGATATTATTGGTCCTTGTTATCAAATTTTATTCGAAAAAAAATTCAAAATCTTACCTAATCCCATTATGGAATAAAATCGTTTTGGAAAAGAATTTAAACCACGCGCTTAATATGTCCGCCTGCAAATCATTACCAAGAGACTGGAGTTCGCCAATGGATTTCTGGTGAAATAGGTTATCTCACTTCGATGGCTTACGAGCTAGGAGTTTTCTCGTCCATAAAAAAATAGGTTGAAAATTCAATGTTTTATGATCACAATTTTGTTTTATACCACACAATAGTATACAATGATTGTAATGTTGAATAATAATTCACGTAAAAATGTTAAATTATGAGTATGGGTTCGGACTGAACTGAAGAATATTTGTATATGTTTCTCTTTTCGTACTTTCGTATCTAAAATGAAAATAGCAGGGTCACCGCCCTGTTTAAAAAAGTTTGAAATGTCATGAAAAATAATAAAATTCGCATTTATCTTTGTTTTTGAATTGATTTATAAAGTGTTACTCGTATCCGAAATTTTTCTTGATGCCATGGGCGAAAATTTATATATTATACATATGGAAAGTTCTTTCCTATAATGCTTCGCATTACATTACATAGGCCCAATATCATGCTCAACAATGAATTATACAAATAAAAACATTGAAAATGTGTTTGTTTGTTTTTTATTGTGAATAACTTTTCCTTTGCTGGGTATTTGTCTTTGCGGGGTTGCAAAAAAAGAAGGAGAACAAGGTTTTTTCCTTGTTTGAATATTGTCATTTTTCCGGCCTCCCACGGTCATAAAAATGGTCACTTCCTAATTATATTACTGTTATCAGAGTCGCATATTATATTTTCATTTCAGCTGGTACAGTCATTACACAGAAAGCAATCTAAGGGTTGTCACCACCATCACATGTCACGAAATGTCTAAATCTATCTAGGTCGCGTCCGTGCCCTTTGACGCTTTATAAACTGGTGCCATTTGCATCGATTCGTGACACGCCGTGTTCTGTGACGTCACATGACGACATTGGGCAATACGACACGTTTTGTGACGTCACGTAACGACAATGACATAATGCACCATAATTCGTGGATTTACGAAGTCAAAGTTTAAAAAAAATGCTCGAAAGTATATTCTGATTTCCTTTATATAAGAATGTGAGCAACTCACGGAAGGAGTTGTTTGATTTCAGACTGAAACATTGATAGATAAATGTGACAGATTACATTCTTCCAGGGGGCGCAGGAAAGATAGGTGATGTTAGTAGGCTGGGCGTACAGAAAAAGGCGTATGGTATTATAAGCTTTTGGTCGTAGTTCTACCGCAGAATATCTTATGTATCTGTACGCAGTTTCTAGCACCGATGAAAAACATAACACAAAATAGAAAAAGGGATGAAACTTCAAATGGGCTCGAAAAATTTAAATCTTACAATCTACTAAACTCAAAACAGTTGTAACAAAATATCAGGCAAATGTGGAGTGTTCTGTTTTGTATCTTTTTCAGATAGCATCGGATGTTTTCAGGTTTTCAAGATAAACTTGGTTTGGATCGTACCGTGACACTGGAGGAAATCTGTCAGAACCATGTGAAAGTGTGATAAATCATATTTACCGTTTTTTTTAGAAGCCTGAATTTGTATGACCACTTAAGAACACGTATGCCTTTTTCTATTTAGCGCTTATGAACAATAGGTTATTCTGATGTTGTTTATGAACGATAAGTTATTACTATATATCGCTAGCATGCGTATCATAGTTCCCTGTCCAATCGTTCCTGGTCTTCCATACTCTCTTAGAATTAGACATATCTTGCATTTTCCAGAGCAAAACAATTATTTTTTTTCTATCGGTGATATATATATACTCTATGTCGCACGAACACATGACAGTCTGGTGTCCCGGACAATTGAATCAAAGTTTGACCTTTTTGATTAAGTACCATCGCATATTGGTATTTCTAAATGTAGCGTAATGTACATCAATTATTTTGAAGAAGGTTTCTGTAAGAGTCAAGGTGATGACATGCCCTTTATACATAGTGTTTAAGTCTAAAGGGCGAATCATTTTAGGATAAATGGAATAGCCGGAAACGGAAACCTCGGAAAGAGCGGGTCACAGAAACCTCAGAATAATTGAAATTAACCATATCTCTAACTCAATAATCCTAACATTGCAGAAAGTAGCAGCAATTTTCTCAATTTAGTCTTGGGTTGTGCGCGTAGTTCAATTCATTTCACGGTTACTGGCCAGTCCCCGTCGTTAATAAAAAAAACATGTTAGTAAATGAACGAAAATGAAAACCGTACTAGTTAAACAGTAAAAACTAATCTTGGAAGTAATTCTTCTTCCGGACATGTAAAAATGTGCAAGATTGAATAAGTCAGCACATTAATGTCTAACCACTTGCGTGATTCTAAGAACGAGTAAACCACAGAACAATTTACAAATTGAACATTTGGTTGATCAATTACATTGGATGCATCGAACAACGTGAACAGTTATCCATGTTCGTTACATTGTTATTAAGCGGCCAATGATAACTGGCATCCATATTAATCGCAGGAGTTTTATACCGAAATGAGCTTTAAAGGCTCCGATGTCATTATCCAAGGGTTTTGAAACGGACAATCACATATAATATTGAGAAAACAGTTGATTGGTTTTGTGAGTGATCGAGTGGGATCCTGGATTACCGTTTTATCAAGGTAATGATAAATTCAACAGCGAATAGTCACATGCGCCAGACAAGTAAGAGAATCACGGCTATGTCAATGCCATGAAATTTCCGTATAGGGGCCTATTCAGAGCGACGTGTTAACTTGAATTCCGTAGAATCACACTGTGGAAAAACAGATTTTAACAATAAATCATATGTCATTAAACTAAACCACTTACGTTCACGACGTGTGATCACCTGAGTTCGTGTATTCGTTAGGTTCAACACTCCAGTTATTATCCAGTTATTTCACCTATCTCCTCATCGTACACACGTTAACGTACACACTGTTTCACCACCGGCTGCAAAACTAAAAGAGCTATGAATATGCTCTGAATGGTGATGTTAATCGGTGAGAAGTCAAGATAATTTGCATATTTTGTGAATGATAATATTTGACCCATTTATCAAGTTGTTAGGGGCGTGAATGAAAATGAAAGTGCAAAGTTCGTTACCGAATTTAATTAATTGTACTAATTTAATTCGTCCAAATGACCAATTATCTTTAAATTTGAATGTGCTTCTCGGAGAAAAAATCATTAGTTCGCGATTTACAGAACGGCCCGCTCCTTAACAAATTGTGTCACCTTTGCCACAGACTCGACCTCAGGCTATTCGTCACGTTTTGACTCATGAACAGACATTATTGGTTATTAGATGAAAAGCATATTTTTATTTACAGACAAGTGATTCAAACGGAAGTTCGCTTGAATGAGATTCCAGCCTACGAACTTTTTTTTGTTTCTTGACTTCGGGAAGGCAATTTGCGGCGCTCGGCCGATGTCCTTGGGACATAATCCGAGGGTTGAACATTCACATGAAATTACGACATACACAACGAGATTATGAAGTGTTAGGAAATAATAACACAATAATATATATAAAGCAATCCATCTTTGGGTCGATATGCCCTTCTACCAGTAACGTCATCCGGGTACTTTTGCATGCGTACAAATTGAATCGCATGCCCCTATTATTTTTATTTTCGAGATAACAAATACAGGTACTGTGCGTACTCGGCTTCTTAGATAAGGGTTGAATCAATACTTTTAGATGTGTAACCACGGTAACTGTGAGAAAAATGAGAGTTGTGCGTAGTTCTCGTAGGTTAACCTTTTCGAAATGTCCTCGCCTTCGCCTCTAACTGGCAACATCCCAGCATTTTCAGATACGAAATCGTCAGGTATGTGTAAAACGCTATGTAGGATTACCGACTAGTTTAATCGTCATTGAATGAGGTTATTTGGGGATAAAAACTTGAAGGATATGTGACTAATCGGCTTCAATGTCAATGAGTTCACAGTCGTATAGTGCGTTGATTCTAAATATATCTTAGAACATTGCATAAAAGTGAATGAATCTGCGCATGTCTGTAAATGGCGTCACACATGTTTCGTTATACGAACACGGTGACAACACAGTGAGCCAGTAGGCAACCAGTAAGTACCGTGGCGATAAGCAACATTGGTGAATAGGTAATAACTAGTCGGTTTCAAAAAGGTGTAGCTAAGGTTGGTGAAAAAACCCTTCAGTATACCTATTAGAGTTTTCCACCAGTGGGGCGAGTGAGGGACGAAAAACCATTTTACACGAGGCGGTTTTTGAGGCAACGCACCGAGCAATACGTGAGACAACGTGACTACACGAGATCCTGTGGCGACAGACAAATAATTGCATATAAAACGGGCATACAAACGAGGCAACTCACTAGTCAACGGTAAACCGGTTTCTTTTATATGGAAATTTAACTGGCAGTGTACACAGAAGCTCAGAACCATACTCGGAGAAGGCACATTTTCAGAATCTCAAGACTAAGTACGCCTTCTTCCACCGGACGAGTTACATTTGTTTCCAAAAAAAATCTAATTTTACTTCAGAATTTTCAATACTAGTACTCTTTAAAGGGAACCTCAATCCAAACAACATAATGACCCCTAAAGAAAAAGCTCCACACATGTAGGAGAATGCAATTTACAGTTTTGTTGTATCACTTTTTATTCTCTAGATATTCCACTTTTCACCAGTATTACGTAGTCAGCC